AAAAAAAAAAAAAAAAAGAACTGTAATTATTTCTACTTTGTATGTAATGATCCATACTTGGTTCTGGATAATTTTTCAATAGAATTCTGTGAGCTAAATGAAGCTTTAACATTTTGTTCCACAATTCTGTATATGCTTAGGGGCAGTGTCACATGCCGATACCATGACAAAGCCAAACAGATGCTGTCAGAGGCAGCAGTTCTGACTACTGGATGCATGAAATAGTGTCCTACCCTGAAATGAACAACTTGCTTCCTGAAAGAGGGGATGGAGGACTGCTAAAACAAGGTTCCCAGCATGTAAAATGAATAGAGAATTATAAGGTACAGGTAATCACAGGAGAGTGAAGAGTCTTGGCAACAGTTCAGACAGAGAATGACAAAGGTTAATGTTTCTTCCAGAGCAACAAGACCATATGCTCCAAAATAAAAGTTTAAAAATAAAGGCAATTAGCACGATGATGTTTGGGGTTGTCTTAATTTTTAAAAATGTAATATTTATAAAGCTGGACACAGTGATGCACGCCTGTAGCTTCACTAGCCACTCAGGAGGTGAGGCAGGAGGATCACTTGAGCCCACAAGTTCAAGGCCAGCCTGGGCAACATGGTAAGATCTTGTGTCTTTAAAAATAATAATAAGGGTTTTCCTCAGCTGCCACCAAGGTGCTTGGTCCTTCCAAGCTAAGGCCGCATTGGGGTGAGGCCCTTACTTCATCCAGCAACTAGCACTACGTCTGGCAGCGCTAGCCCCACACTCACCCGCACGATGGCCTCCTCTACTACCAAGCTCGCTTGCATCTACTCGGCCCTTATTCTGCACGACTATAAGGTGACCGTCCTCTTAAGGAAGATAAGATCAATGCCCTTATTAAAGCAGCCAGTATAAATGTTGAACCTTTTGGTCTGGCTTGTTTGCAAAGGCCTTCTGTAAGGGTTGCAATGTGGGGGCTGGTGGACCTGTTCCAGCAGCTGGTGCTGCACCAGCAGGAGGTCTTGCCCCCTCCACTGCTGCTGCTCCAGCCGAGGAGAAGAAAGCGGAAACAAAGAAAGAAGAATCCGAGGAGTCTGATGATGACATGGGCTTTGGTCTTTTTGATAAAACCTCTTTTATAATGTGTTCAATAAAAAGCTGAACTTTAAAAATAATTATTTATAATTATTAAAATATTTATAATTAATAATGATAATTATTATTTATAATAATAATAAGGGCCAGGCATGATGGACAATGTCTATAATCCCAGGCCTCGGGGAGGCCAAGGCAGGAGGATTGCCTGAGCCCAGGAGTTGACCAACCTGGGCAACATGACAAAATTCTTTCTCTACAAAATATACACAGATTAGCAAGTTATGATGGCACGTGACTACTTTAGTCTGAGCCATTTGAGGTTGAGGCTGCAGTGAGCTGTGATCTAGCTTGGATGACAGAACAAGATCCGGTTTCAAAAATAAATAAAAATGAAAATAGGCCGGGC